GGCTCGATATCGATCCGATATACAAATTTTTGATATCGGATCGATATCGAGTTGAGATCACTTCGATATCGGAGACCAGATGATTAGCCTCCGCTGACAGCCAGCCAACAGAGCTCTGGCGGCTGTGTGATCCTTCCTCACAACTGCCGGAGCTGGTCATCAAAGCCCCGCCACGACCGGGGCCAATAGCGAACCTTGGCAAGACAACTTGAACAAAACGGTGCCACCAAACATTTCTCATCAAGGTAGAGAGATATAGAAGAAAAATATGGGAAGCGGAATTTTAAGGATCAACATAGTAAACAATCCTTTTCTTGTCTCTCTTTCGTTATCTTTGTCTTCTTTATCTTATCACCAAAAGCAAGTTCTAGAAACGGCGAAGCAAATGAATTTCAAACACCTCTTCTTAGCCAGAAGTACAGAAGACCAGTATCTATACATCCAAGGTGTCTAAGCAATCACTTGATCAATTGGTGTAGCGGGTAGACTCACGGCAAGTACGTGTCACGGCCATTGTTCGCATGGTGTGTTCAAATCCTCGACGTTTAACTCTTTTGTCAGTCTTGGTGTGGAGTCCTTCTTTTGAAGGGCCCTAATCCTCAACTCAAATCAATTGACTTGTTTGAATCAGTCAAGGTCTCAAGGCCTGTCAGTATGCCACGGAACCAAATGGTTCTGATATCATTACAATATTGGACCGAGAACAAATCGATATCAAAAATTTGTATATCGATTCGAGATCAAATCGATATCAAATTGACATTGGGTCAGATGACATCGAATTGATATCAGCGCTGACCCGTGGTGTACTTACATAGAATTCCGAAAATTGTGATTTGTGATGACGATAAGATGTCAAAGATTCTGTGTCTTCCAATGTCACAGAATCCAGATCATTTTAATTTTGAAGTTGAGTCCTTGGATTTCTTGAAACTTTGAAATTCAAAGTTCAAAGCTTATTTTGTTTTGAATTCCTTTACATAGTACGGAATCTTGAAGAACTTTAAGGAACGTTACAATTTGGCTCGATTTGGATTGAAGTTTTAGGATGATACTAAATCCAGCCCGGTGTTTGCAACTCTGACCGCCCGGATTTCATCTGTATTCATTCTTGATTCTACGCTATCAGACGCTATCCTGTGTGGCTTGACATTCCGGGCGGTCACTTACAAATTTGTTGATTTGGTGTTGTGACCGCCCGCTTTATTCTTGTCGATTTGATACGATCAACTTTGATATGCTCAAAGAAATGATTCATCATCTGTCCATGGCCTTGCTACCATATCTTTGTGAAATCAACATATGCTAACGCTTTGTTGCCTTCAGCAGACATCTGACATTTGTCGTCCTCAGGTAACGGTTGAGCTCAATCAAGATATTGGTTCATTGTATGTTTTCGTGCGTCCGCCGCGTGTGTGTGTTTGCATCGCGCGTCCATAAGCTATGTACTACATGATAGACACCACACATCCATTGCTGAGGCTTGGTGGGTGCATCTCTGCCATCTCTTGTTGTCAAAGTTTGAGCACTTTGTCTCTTGCTCTCTCAAAGCTGCTTGTTTTCCTGGGTCTTGTTTTTTGATTTTGCTCATGACTTGCAATGGTATGTAGTTGGTGGTGTCTATTGTTGGATCATGATTGACACGCGTAGGTGACTT